CAGAAAAGATGCCTGGACAGACTGCCTACTACCAGCATATTTTAATCATTTAAGGGACATGTCCTGCTCTGAACACTTTGTGTATTTTCCGATTCCAGGGAGGGTGTAAGCAATGGATTGAAGCAACAGCTCCAAATTAAGCAAGAGATAATTGACCACACCATATTTTGCTGCGATGGCAGACTTGATTCTCTTCTACCTGACATCCAGAGTAGCTATTTGCATGAGGTGCTTGGAGTGCAGCATGGGTGCAACTCAGTGTTATAAGGTTGATTACAGAGATCATACTTCATGGACTAGCTATGAAGGAACTTGTCATACACAGCAACATGCAATTGTGAGTTACACCTACTGCCAAGAGTGTTCCAGATTCTCCGGCATGAGAGACGTCACATTAACACAATCCAGTGTTTAGCAAAAGCTAAACCATGTGGCTAACTGTATTCCTAACTGTTAATTCTTCCAAGATGGAACAATCTGGAGCCTTGAATACAGTGTGCAGATTCTTTTACCACCACCAGCTCAAAATAGAAGATTGAGAATGTTTCTTAGCTAGAACTATTATATTCAGGCATTGCACCCATTTTTCACTTTGCTGAACCTTCCCTCCCTCTCCTGCCTATCCAAGGCACAAGCCATACTGGGCGAGCAGCAAAGGCCAACTCCATCTGACACTTTCAGTTTCTCTCAGCCCTAAGATGATGTTTGGACCAAATCCGATGCTGATACATGTGCTGTACAAACAGAATATATTCCAATATTATATTGTTTTTTGTTTAAGTGGACATCCCATTTTCAGTCAGTTCTCTAAGGGTGACTTCAAAGCCACTAGACTCCCATTTTGAGCTAATATCCAAAATTAGAAAATCCTCATAACCTTAAAGTGGGAGGATATGCCACAGAAGTGTTTCTCTCAAATGTCTGGGCTACATAACAGATTACATCAACACAGCCTGTCCAACACTAAAATTAGCAAGCATCTCAAAGCAAGATGGGATATGGAACATTCTATGGAATGCATAAAATCAAACTCAAACAGCATGAAAAAGTAGTTTTTATTTTTATTGTTTACAAATCATGATCACCTTATGCAAAGCAGCATCCTGCACCACACATTTCCCTCACCCTCCTGGGATATTGGCAGAAAGCAAGTATTTTCTCTGTGCTTTAAGGGAAAAGTACTCTGCTGAGGTAAATGGGAACCACCCCAGTGATTTCATAGAGCTCTGACTGCTTACCTTAGCAAAGGGGCTAAGTCATCAGACCGCAACGCAATGAGATGTCATATGGGCAAACTTAGTCTAGGTGCTTAGTTGGCTTAGTCCATTCTAACCAAGATGAAAACACTTACCCAGACACTTAATAAGCTCTCAATTCTCTTCAATTTTAACTGACACAGATCTAATTTTAAGTATCTGTTTAAACATTATGACTCTCATCCCAAACTAAGTTCATGCAAGGTTTAATTTTATGCACCATGAACAACTTTACTCAAGTTTTTAAGAGACAGCAAAAGTGTGCTTTAAGCTGTTTTAGGAGTGAGACCTTTCAGCACAATAGCTATTTACTCCTTTCTTACCTGCCTCCCCCGCACATGGAGGTCAAGTGCTTACTCTGAAGAAATGTGCCCTAAGGTTAACCTGAAAAAAAAAAAGGTGCAACTTTTTTATTTTGCCTTCATCTTTTTCTCCTGATCTGGAGTTGGAAGCAGTTAATGGTCATATAATCAAATAGGCCATGCTTTTGAACCTACAGAGAAATAGTTAGTTATTTATTTATTAAAAAACCTGTTCTGTTAAACAGATAATTGATTGCAATTACTTCAAAGACTTACCTGAAGCAAATTACTCATACTGTTTCCTAAAATGATGCCTGCTATAAAGCAGCATAATTCCTCAGCTCCTACAAGGTCCCTCTGCTCACAATCTACAACTGATGCCTCAAAATATTTATTACACTGGGAGAAATGGCTCTGGCGTATTTGCCATCTTATGTCTAAAATGACTGACAAATACTATCTATGTCTGCAAGACTGATATTGGATCTATGAATCAATGAAAACTGCTTCATTTTACTGCTCGAGCTGTAGGAACTGTTCTATTAGCTCCTGACAACTTCACATTAAAGAAATATGATTTACTTCACATATTGAAAGAACTTTCTAAGAACCCATATATACACACATACGCTGTGTATGTGTACACGTATACACAAACGTATAGATAATTTGTATTTATTTTACACTGACTAAAAGAAGTGCTAAAAGTACTAAAAGAATCCAACAACTGTCACTGCTAGAGATGAGGCTAAATGAAATTGTATCATTTATATGGCATCAAATAGTTATGAGACTCTGCTCCAAGAGCTTCAGAACTGTTAGCAAAAAAGTATCTTTCATTGGTAAAAGAGAAAAGTTCCAAACGGTTTGAGTTTCACTTTTAAATAAATTGGAAGCATTTAGGAAAAAAAAAAAACCAAAAAAAAAAACAACATGCAAAGTAGATTTTATAATTTATATTTCAGTTCTGTGTATAGCAAACACACACATTTATACATATATTCTATTAATTTCATGGCAAAATTCTGAGGTGCCTTGGACTCAATGATGACTTTAATCAATCTGGCAGTATCTCACATGTGCATCATTACCTCAACCTTTGAAAAAGAAAAATATGTACAAGTTCAGACCTGTATTCTGTGAGTCTGGCTGCATAGTCAGAAACAGAAGTATTGCACTCAAGACCACGCCTACAAAAATGCACGTTTAATAAGGCCATTACATTCAAGATCCTAATGGGACTCAAGTCACGTGAACAATCAAATATATCATAAATAGACCTAGGAAAGCCATATTGCAGAAGATGGACTCAAAACAGCAGTGTTCCCACAATTCAATAACTGATTTTTTCCCCGCCATGAAATGCCATTCTTTCAGACTGGTTTTACCCAGAGGGCCAGACACCATGATGTGTATGTATGCATGCATTCTCACTATGCGCTGTTTCATTTTTTCTTAAAAGTTACCAAGCACCCTAGAGTTTGAGGGTAGGATTCTACTCAAGTTCTGCTAATAAGGTTCAAGTTGTTACCAACTTTAAGCAGCTTCTGTGCATGATGAGGGGAGAGAAGATCTGACTTTCAGTTATTTAAATGTTTGCCAACATGCAGGACATAATTCTTACTTTACGAAGTGTAGCAAAGACATAATTGAACCTATACTGGAATACTTCTCAGTATGCTCTTTCAGAGCTAGATCACACTAAGAGTATCAGTTTATCCAATCTGGCTTACCAGAAAGAAAGAGCAAACAACCAATTTAACACAACAGGAATGATTACAGATTTACAAGTTAGCTGCCCACATCCCACAGCAAATGGGAAGAAGCTACCCTTTAATCAAAGTCAGGTGTGCTACCTTGAATTTACAGTAGGGTAAGTGTATTCACACCAGCCATTACCTTGGAGTAGCAGGTGTGCTGTAAATCTGCTAGCTTGCTTTGTAGTTATTTGCTCCTTTAGCCATTCCAAAGATACCCAGTCAGCCAGCATTTTGGCTCGTTTAAGGGTAGTGGCATTTGTCCAAGAAGGAAGGGTAGATCACTATTCCTCTTCCCTATGCCACACTACATAAATACATAGAGTTATGCAAATGCAAAAAGCATCAATACAAAGGCTGGAAGAATCACAAGACAGAGCAGACAGGAAACTTAATAGTCACATGCATTACAGTTCAGCAGAGATGTTCTTTTACAACCCTATATTCTGCCATAAAATCCACAGTAGTGGAGATTATGGATGAACTACTTTCCAGCTGAATCAACTCCAGCATTAGACATTATTTCTGAATACAACAGACTATATCCAACCCTTTCTTTCCTAGGACCTGTTTGGGGGTTTAGACACTTTCTAATATACAGACAAGAGACAAACCTGAGACACAGAAGATGTGACTTTTTTTGTATATTATACACAGACAAATGGATAATTGAGCTGCAAAAACTATTAGAAGCGTCACACACTTTACACCTACGGCTCCATGTACTTTTTCCTGCAACAACGGTGTCACTTGCTGGATGCAAGTTTGTCACTAACAATGAATATGTTTTTGACCAGAGCTGGGAGGAATGCATTTAGACAGCAACAACCCAGCTCTTCCAGTGATGAGCAAGGAACATGGGAGTTCAGGATATGGTTTCTAATTCTACCCCCATCTTACTACATGCTGAGCAGCTCAAAACATCTCTCAGTAATCACATTATTTGGAAGCAGAATAACTCTTTCCATATTTTCTTCACAAAAGGAGCAGTAACAAGTCCATTAATGTATCACAGAAGATGAAAAACCATCTAAAAGGCTTCTACTTACTTTAGCAGTTTTGACTAAAAAATGATTAGCAGAATCACTTTGTCAATTAGTTTAAAAAAAGCCGAGAATATTTTGGGAACAGAGTTTCATCTCTGACATTCACATTAAAATGGTGGCCTGACCACTAGCGATAGTTTGTCTACAAATGTCTAAACAAATAGTGTTTTGATGCGTATCAAGCAGTAGCTGCATTTTCAACATTTTATGTTTGCTGTATTTTTAACTGAATTCTCTCTCCCAATAAAGTGACTGTCTTGTAGTTAGAATGACTACCCATACACACAGGATTTCTAAGCGGAATTACATATTTTTGTTTTCTCTCCACCATAATATTATCTCATCATTTTCAGTATCAGTCAACACCACAGGTTTAATGCAGGTCACGGGCAACAAGCAGCAGGCCTACTTTTACCACTTGCTTCAAACAATATATTGTTTCATATTTATACATTCTTAAAAATGTTTTCTTCACTTAGCTATACTAAAAGTACCACTTCAAAATTTAAGTTTACAACAGAAAAATGTTATTAATGACTTGACCAAAAAAATACCACCCAAAATCCCTTTTACTCCTACAGGAAATCATATTTTCTCCTGAATTAGTGTGAACAGATATTTATATTAAAGGACTCAATATTTCAGAAACCAGCTATTTAATGCTCAATGTTTTTTTCAGCAGATGAAGAGGTAGGTATATTTCCACACAAGAAAAAAAACAAACCTGTAACAGACAATCAATTAAATCAAGTAATGTCTGAAAAGTCAAACACTGTTCTGACAGCACATAAACATAATGTGTCTGAAGACACTCTCCAAGGAGGACAAGAAAAGTTGCACATTCTGATTGGATAATATGTCATAACTTGAAATTTAATAATTTTCTGGAAAGAAAACACAAGTATCCAAATGCTACTTCCTTCCCCTCCCTCCCCCAAAGAAATGTGGGTGCCAACAAAACTGCCTGTATCAATGGTAGTATTAACTTTTGGACTGCTAAACATGTAATCAACTGCAATTCTTCCTTACGTTCACCAACACCAGCAGTCTACAAGTTTACAGAAAGACCATATGCATGATAATTACATAATTACAATAGGAATTCAACTTTAGTGTTGTTCTTAAAACAATCTTCATAAATAATGAAAATATCTGTGTTCTAGCTCTTCAGTAACCTAAGGTTAATTGGTACAGATAGTGTTTTTTTCTTCCTTTTATAAACCAAGCTGGAGGTTCCTCACTGCCAACAATGGTTAAGGCCTGGATCAAGTTATTCTCCTTTTGCTTTTCCCTTTTTCTGCTTTTTTCCATTTTCCACCACTGCATTATTTTCTGATTTGCTTACTCCATTTGCAACAGCACCATTTGCTATTTTGCCATTCTTTACAGGTTCCTTGGGCAGTTTATATGTCCGATAGTAGAAGTTACCAAACAGGAAAATGAAGGTGACAGCATAGAAAATTACACCCCAGTGCATCCACTTAGGGAAAGGACAATCAATATAAATAGACAAGGCTGTGTGGCCAATAGTCACATGGAACTGCACCTGAAAGACAGAAAACAGAAAATCAAAAAGGTCTGGATATTCTGTAGGTCTGACTGCACCAATGTATACCAATGCATTAAGTTATGAAAACTGCTAAATTGGGAGGCAGTAGGGAAGCTGTATTTTGCTGTCACATCATGCATGCACACATATGCTTGATCAGGGACATCACATTTATTGCAGTACCTGGCACCAGTTTTCAGAAATAGGAAAATGAGAAGATGTTAAGAGATCTGGATTTTTCGCTCCCTTTTGCGGTTCAGTTGAAACAACCAGTAAAGTAGTATTAGACTTTACTCACAAAACTCTTATCTATGCCGCGTATTTTTTGAGAACTGAAATAAATACGTCCATCTCCAGGAAGTATGCTAACTTGAGCTGTGAGTACCAGACAGCTAAGAACTTGTGGAAGGAGCAGCATCTGTTCCAAAGCTCTGCAAATGCAAACCCACTCAGAGGCAATACCTTCTGAGATAAAGGAAGAAATTTTACTTACCAATTGCAATATGGTCAAGTATCGTTTCCACCACAGGTATTTCTGAAATTTAGGGCCACAGGCAGCTAATCCATAATACATGTACATAATGACATGAATAAATGCATTCATCTGAGCTCCAAAAAAAGCTGTCCAGGAACAGAAGGGAAGATTGTCACGTAATTTTGAAAAAAGAAAGAAGTCTTTTCGAGTATTTTTAATGTGACAGTAAGTTATAAAGCACTGGACATGCCAGGCTTCCATCTTTTAAATATTCAATAGCATAATATAGACCTGACTGTGAACTTGTGCTGACATGAAGAACTGTTCATGCAAGTAGTATGTCACATCTTTCATGGAACTACTTATGTCTGCTGAACAAAAAAAACTTATGAAAAACTTTTCCATAAGTCATATGGATTCCATGTTAGTTATTGTAGTATAAATGCAATTGTTTTGCTGAAGGACTATTATACTTTACATTATCAAATACAGCTTCTAAACTATCAAGTTCTGCACTTAAATCTTTTAAACTATATTTAAATACACAAGGTTCATGTCTCAGGAAGAAGTCAAGAAACTCATGTGGAAGTCTGATTAAAGCGGTCAAAATATGATACAAAGCAAAACTTCAGTTGTGGTTTTAAGATGTTTGAGGGCATTGCCAAGTGAGTTTGCCTAAATTGCTCATCTTTAGTTTCTTTCTTTCTTTATGGCTTTAAATAGCCAGCATTCTTAAATATATAAATGTATAGTATAACTTTTTCCAGAATGATCCATGTTGGAAACAAAGATAACAGTTCTCATTTGCATGAAGATCTCTCCGCTCTGTCAAGATTAGCAGCCATTTAACAGAAACAAATTATATCTTGTTAAGGTATTCTTACACTGCCAGAGAGGCTCAAAAAGGCTCTAATGTATAAGATTAGGGCAATACAGACAGTAGCTGCTGATATCAAACAGCTCAGATGCCCATGTGGTCTACACCCGGTTAGTTATAATAGGGTCTAGTTTATAATAGATCTGCCTATGTAAGCGATGTGCTATCAACTAGAAAACAGAAGAACATAGATGTATCCACATTTATGCAGTAGCGCTACATTAAATGCAGAAGAGCAACTGTTGCTTTTCCTTTTGCAGGGGCTAGAAACTAAGAGGCAGTTGCAAGAACACCAAAACCTGAAATACATTTGGAAATAGTTGCAACTGTTGCATTAGAAAACTGCAGCTATTTAGCATGAAAAGTCTGAAGAGGCAACAAGGGAGGGGGCAATTTGAAATATCCATGGAATTTCTATGTAAGACTACAAGTAAGCATCCAGTCTCCAATAAACTTATTTTATGGGTGCAGTAGCCAATAAAGATCATTAAATGTCTGGTTGAGTACTTGCATCCTGCAGATTACTTGGGAGAAAATTCAAGGATAGTCACAGATACTGATTTTAAATATTTCTTCTTTTGAATATAAGTAACGATTCAGTACAAGATATCTACAGTAAATGAGAGCATAAACCCCCCCATGCATTAAGTATATATGTGGTTTGACAAAAAAACCCCAAAACCTTAGTTTGGTGTGGTGTTTACTATGCTAATACTATTGTTATTTTCAGTGTCTTAAGGCTACAAAGCACATTACAAACAAAACAGGGTATTTTCCCTGAACCCTCAGCTCTGTAGAGCTTACAATTTAAGAGACACAAGACGAAACAACAGGAATAAGGGTACAAGGGAGGATGTGGCAAGTACAATGGAATAAAATTATTTGATGGGGGTTTTAGAAAGGAAGCAAAGAAAAAAAAGACTGATAATGAATTATAGACTTGTGTCATTATGAATAGGTTTTAAAAGTTAATTGACAGATTTATTGGCTCACCTTCAAGAGAAGGTTTCAGAATTTTATACATGCCTCTCTATAAAAAAGAAAGCAAACCCCAAACTCAGATATAATGCCAAAACAATGTCTCCATTAGCTTCATTACTTTTGCACACAGATTTTGGCCCATAATTAGATTTTGCAGTTCTCTGTATCTGCAAAAATTAAAGTTAGGCAAGACAACTTCATCTTTCTATTTCATACAGAACAAGGATAATTTTGAAGACAGAACTTCAGGCTTGCAACTGATGCCCATGAGAAAAAAAAAAGTTTTGCAATTCATTAGGTTATTGCCCTGTTATCTTTTCCTCCCCCACGTTTCCCACAGAGGAAGGCTGTAGGCATTAAAGCTACTGCACTGCTACAGTGGTATTTAAAGTCTTGTATATTATAATGTGAAGTCTACGAAAATTTTTTTTCATTGATCCCAACAATACTAGTTCTCCCTTATGTCCAGTCAAAAGGGTATGGGAGGAAGGGAACTCACCTTGTCCACCTGCAACCCACTTAATACCAATCCACCACAAGGTAAACATGGTGAAATGGTGATAGACATGAAGGAAACTAATTTGGTTAAATTTCTTCCTCAGGATGAAGAATACTGTATCCAAATATTCAATTCCTTTAGAGACGTAATACCACCATAAAGCAGCAGCTATCTGCAATGAAAAAAAAAAGACAACACAGAAGTTTTAATGATTCCAAGTTGAACAGAATGAAGTTCTCTCCACCTATCTGCTGCAAGAGAAGGATACTTCTTCCTTCTCCAAATCCTTGTAAACATTGAGATGGAGTCATCGAACATCTGATGGTATGAGGAAAAAAAACAAAAACAATACTCCATTCATGTATTCTGGACATGGAAGTATTACTTCAAGTCTACTGCTCACAAATCATAACTGTAGAAAAGGACTAACATAATTAAAAGCTTTGCCATCTCTAAACAGTTTACCAGCTAAACATAGGGAGTTTGTGTCCTCACTCTCTATCCTAAGCTTTGCGGGAGAAGAGTACCACAGGGCGTCCCATACTAATGAGGCAATACTTTGATATGGTCAGAACAACGAGGCAGAAACATTACTATAAAATGAAGCTGCAAAGGTTGAAACCTTACATAGAATTCTTTCAGTACTACAGGCATATTGGTGGGAAGATACCAAATCACTCTTACAAGCTAGGTGAGGTACAGATTTCACATCCCTTAGAACACTATTCCCCTCAATGTCTTCTGGCCTGCTCTGTAACCACCTCTGGAAAGCAGCATTCTCCAGTGGCTTTGTACCATTCAGGGAATAGAAGAAATGAGACCATGGGAGCCACACAAGCTGCAGAGATATAACCCATCTACCTAACAGGGCAGTGCTACACACCCAAAATTCTTTTTCTAATCCATTCATCCCAGTGGATCTTGCCCAAGATGCAACATAAACATGGCTTCCCACTGAAAACAGGATATTGCTGTACCAGGTAAAGTCCAGAAGCTCTACGTAGCAATTTGCTAATACTATGACATGGGGCATGGTGGTGGTGGGGACTCCCTTCCAGATCCCAAAGCATAGCAACAGGTCTAGTTCCTGGCATCCTAAGTCATCTAGCTTGTTATGCAAGGGTGGGACCAGAACATATCCCAGATGATGACTCACATAGAGAATGGAGGGAAAAAAAAGAAAAGTTGCAAATGGCACCACCAGCAAGGAGAGCAGGCAATGTCACAACACATCTATTTGTAAGAAGTTCACCTGGTCTTTCAGGACTCATCTGATGGCAAATCAGACTTACTTACCTTAACATGGTATGAAATAACCCCACCACCTCCTCAGTCCCCAGGGAAGACAGAAGAGAAGAAGTTAAGAGAGCAGTAGCTTCCCTTCCCAAATACACACATACTGTTAGGCAAGTGAGAGAAAGGGCAATCAGGAGAATGAGCAGTACAGAGCAACGCTACAGCCCTACATGGTGTTTTCCTCCATCACTCCGAACTAGGAGGAAAGGAATGCATGTCTCCTCAGAGTAAGTTTGTCACAGCCATAACTGGACTGATGAACATTTTAGGAGAGATTACAGCAGAAGCAGAAAAGCAGCGCGGGAGCAGAGTTCCACAGATCTGCACTGCAGACTCTGCAGTTTCCCAAAGGGACTGCACAACCTACTGTTGCCAAACTGCAGACTTCTCTGTGTTCATTAATGAATACCCTTCTCACCCTCTGGACATGATTTAGCCTTTTATTTTGTCAATTTTATATAAGAAGATACTAATATCTGTCAAAGTTGGAGAGAAAAGTGACTCCCACAGATCTTGGAGTTCCCAGGCAAGTTCTTGCAGTTCTTGCAAGCTGCAAGAACCATCAATATATATATAATGTTGCTCAACATCCAGTACAGCTCTGCCTCCAGGACAGGTAGTCAGGTGTTTAATAACACCCACAGCAAGGCTTTGTCTCACACCCATGGATTATCATAACAGTTCAGCATCTTCTACAGATCTTTGCTAAAGCTGCATCTCTTAAATAAATTAACATAAGCATCTTTTCATCTCATGAGTTAACAATAAACACTGTGGACTGTATCCATAAAGTGACAAGCCAGCGCTACAATACTCAAGCTCTTTGGAGAGTAATCCTTCTGAGAAACTTTTAAAGAATCAAAAAATCAGTTACAAGCAAACTGACATAAAATCTCTTATAAAGCCAATGTGCGTTTTGTTAAAGAAACAGTGGAACAATACGCCAAATAGCCAATAAAGAAATAGCCAATTTACTGTATGACATAGAGCAAAATGTAAGTGGAGAAAAATCCAACAAAAAACCTTATGATTTGTGCCCAGGATGCCACAGGTTCACTATATACTCCTGGACAAGTCATTTAACACACCTCATTCCTCCTCTTTTGAATTCCACCTGCCTTGCACAGAAAGCAATTACAGTCTGTGGATCAAAATCAGATAAACTTTGATCAAAGCACTTTCCATCACTTAAGAACAAAAATAGCCTCCATTTCTTTGCAGGATTATACCTGCTGATTTTTGTGTTCCTGTAGATTTTTGTCTGACAGCTCTTTTGCTCTCTTCCTATCATCAAATTTTACTACCATTTATTCTCAAACCTGATAGGTTTCGTGTACTGATGATCTATTTCAGTGCTCCCAATGACTTATACAGATGTTTTGATCATTAGTTTACAGATGCAGGAAAAAAACCTCAAACAACCCAGATATTAAGTCATTTGCCCAAGGCCATGCATGCAGTCAGTGACAGAGGGCAGAAATAAAGTAGAATCATGCAGCGATATAAAAGCTATGTCAGGAGCAGATGGCTACTATTAAACTACTTCTGCAAAGCGCCAGAAGTTAGGACCTGCCCTGTGGCCTTTCTCTGGACACAGCATGAAAGAAAAATTTAGCTTAAAAGAAAATATGCATTAAAAAGGCGTATTCCTGAAACGAGTAATACTAGTCACACCCATACCTTTTCTGGCAATTTTCATATGCACCAATCTAAGTCCGTTAAAACACCAGATGGCACAGAAAGATTACATTACATCCTAGGATTAAGGGGGTCAACAAGAGGTCCAGTCCCACAACCTCTGCCTGCTGCAGGGTTTTTGAACAGAGAGCTGTTTTAACATGGGACTCCATTCCTGCACCATCCTTCCTCATTTCAGGTTGCAGACAGTTATCCATTAAGTGGTTTGCAGGGACAGGTACTTCTTAGAAGGCAACGGTAACATGAAAAATTAAAGTGGCTCTTAAAGAGAACTCTTT